CAAATTCTTCTGCTAGTTGGGGTTTAGTCCACTTCTATATCCTTCCCTTCAAGGCTCAGGGGTCCAAGATTATCTTCTGTGTCTGTGTTAATTGGTTTTCCTTTTCTTTGTTGAAGCGGGTCTGTGCAGCCTTTCTGCCTAGTCTGCCATCTTGCTGGAACTCCACCCCCCTGCCACATAGAGACTCTTGAGGTCCACCCAGAGGTGTCATTTGATTATTTAAACCTTAGGAGCTGCCATCCCAGCTTTGGATCCAGTTGAAATATATGACTTCAGATATGGAAAGCTTCCAAAGTATAGGCACAACTGAAGCAAATGATATGATGGAAATACAAGAAATACAAATGTAAAAGAAGGAAGCCTTGGTCTATTCAACACTGAGGAAATACAGTTTTCTTGACTGAGAAAAAAGACCTGAACCACTTTTAAATGGCAACTTACAGATCTATTTTTTAACATCAAAAATGACTTGTTCTTTTCTACTCTATTACTTTTGTGATTTAGTTCAATTAATTGATAGTTGCTGAAAAAAATGACCTTATATAGGGATAACAACAGCATAGAAAATAGGAAAATAAGCACACCATAAATATTTGATGAGTGAAGGGATACAAAGATTTAAAAGACCATCCCAAAAATGAACAAAAGCATTTTATGAAGATAAAAGCAACAAAAACTAAGACTCAATGAGAAACCCATATCAAAAATCTTAATCAAAGTGGAAAAATAGCACATGAATGTACTATGAGGATTCAAATTATAATGCCCATTCTTCACTGTCATGGAGAAGCATTGAGTCTCTCCCACTAGGTGGTGTGTTATTTTTCTTGTTCTAGGTTTGTACTGACCCATGCATTATCTTTTATTTGTTCCCTCCTCAATCACATGGTGGATCTATTAGTTTGCCTTTGCTAGATAACTCACTCACATACTCCAGGATTTATTCCAAAGCATGAGACTAGCTCTTGTCCTCAAGGTACTTACAATGTATTTGAGGAAAAAGCATATAGAGAAAAGTTTAGGATGTGATGAGTATAATATGATTGAGAAAAGAGCACAGGAACTTATCTGCTTAAGTGGTGATGCATTTAGGAGTCAAGTTGGCCTACAAAAGAGATCAAAGTGAAATATTCATTAAATTTGGAGAAATTGAATGCAGTAATTGCTTTCATTAACACCTCATAAAAATCAAATGAAAGAGAACTAGTCACTTAAAGAAAAAGAGTCTTCTGAACTTAGCAGGAAATTCAGAAAAAAAAAGTGGTTTGCCTTAACCATTAGCAAATCATGGATACATATGCACTTAGATATACCAAGATCAAATCAACTACATTTGTGAAAAGACACGATAGAGAAGCGCAATATCATCAGTAAGGCCAGGGGTCAACTGCAGAGCAAACCACCAGTTGCTCATATGCAAGTTCAAGTTGAAGCTGAAAAAAAATTCAAACATGTCCATGAGAGACAAAGTATGATCTTGAATATATCACACCATCTCAAGAATAGATTTGACTCATTGAACACTAATGACTAATGACCAGATAACTTGTGGGATGACATCAAGGGCATCATACATGAAGAAAGTAAAAGGTCATTATAAAACCAGGAAAAATGAAATGACTAAAATGGATGTCAAATGAGACTCTGAAACTGGGTCTTAAACATAGAGTAGATAAAGCAAATGGAAGAACTGATGAGGTAAAAGAACTGAATAGAAGATTTTGAAGGATGGCCTGAAAAGACAAATGCAAGTACTGTAATGAAATATGTGAACACCTGGAGTTAGGGAACCAAAAGAGAAGAATAAGCTCTGCATTTCTTGAGCTGAAAAGGACTGAAGCAAAAATGCAAGCCTCTAGTTGCAATATTGAAGGATTCTATGGGCGAGACATTGAATGATGCAGGAAACATCAAGGTGTGATCGAAAGAATACACAGGGTCACTGTACCAACAAGAACTGGTCAGTGTTCAGCTATTTCAGGAGGTAGCATAAGATCAATAACCAATGACATTGAAGAAAGAAGTCCAAGCTGCACTGAAAGAATTGGTGAAAAACAAGATTCCAGGAACAGATGGAATGAATACCTTTTGAGATGTTTCAACAAATGAATACTGGAAGCTCTCTCTCATTTATGCAAAGAAATTTGCAAGAGAGCTACTTGACCAATTGATTGGAAGAGATCCATATTTTGTCTGTTCCAAATAAAGGTGATCCAACAGAATGCAGAAATTATCAAACAATATCCTCAACATCCCACACAAGTAAAGTTTTGCTAAAGATATTTGCAAAACAGTTGCAGCAATATATTGACAGCAAAATGTCAGAAATTCAAGCCAGATTTGGAAGAGGACATAGAATGAGGAATATCATTTTGATGTCATATGAATCTTAGCTGAAAGCAGAGAATAACAGAAAAATGTTCACCTGTGTTTTATTGTTTATGAAAAGACATTAAACTGTGTGGATCATAACAAATTATGGATCACAATGGAAAGAATGTGGATTCCAGAACACTTACTTGTGTTCATGACGAATCTGTACATAGACCAAGTGCAGTCATTTGAACAGAACAAGGGGATACTTTATTGTTTAAAATCAGGAAGTGTGTGCATTGTGGTTGTAGCTGTTCCTCATACTTATTTGATCTGTATGCTGATCAAATAATCTGAGAAGCTAGATTGTATGAAGAAGAACACAGCATCAGGATAGGAGGAAAACTCATTAACAACCTATGATATATAGATGACACAACCTTTCTTGCTAAAAGTGAAGAGGACTTAAAGCACTTACTGATGAAGATCAAAAACTGCACACTTCAATATGGTACACCTCAACATAAAGAATACTTGGGTCCACAATCAACACCCATGGAATCAACAGTCAGGAAATTAAACTATGTATTGCATTGGTCAAAGCTGCTGCACACGACCTGTTTATAGTGTTCAAAAGCAAAGACATCACTTTGAGGACTAAGATGTGCCTGACCCAAGCCATGACATTTTCAATCACCTCATATGCATGTGAAAGCCAGACAATGGATAAGGGAGCTCTGGTGGCATAGTGCCTCAGGCATTTGACTGCTAACCAGAAGGCTTGAGGTTCAAACCCACCAGCTCCTCCTCAAAAGGAAGGTTGGTCAATCTATTTATGTAGAGATACTGCCTTGAATCCCAAGGAGTGGTCTCTATGAGTTGGATCCGACTCAATGGCAGTAAGTTTGGTTTGGGTTTTTTTAGAAAAAGAAATTATTCATTTGAATTATGATGTTGGCAAAGAATACTGTATATACTGTGCCTTGCCAAAGAATGAACAAATATGTTGTGAAAGATATACAGCCAGATTTTTCCTTAGAATCAAAGATGGCCAGACTTCATCTCACATACTTGGGACGTCTTATCAGGAGGAACTAGTCCCTGGTGAAGGACATCATGCTTGGTAAAGAGCTTCAGTGAAAAAGAGAAAGACACTCAATAAGATGGGTTGACACAGTAGCTGCAACAATGGGGTCAAATTTAACAATTATTAAAATGGCACAAGAACAGGCAGTGTTTTGTTTTGCTGTAAATAAGTCAGACCAGATTCAGCAGCACCTAACAATAACAACAAATCGCACATATATATGCACTTTGGTACAACAGTTTAAGATAAAGGAATTAACCTCTGTAGCAAAGAACATTGATGGAATTCACAAACAATGAAATTCCTGTTTATTGAGGGAAAATTGGTGATTAGAATAATAACTAATTAATCATTTTGAGACAAGTGCTATCATGGCAAAATAATGACTAAACCTGAATATGTATTGAAAAGTAATGAAGAATAAATTATTAGAAGTAACAATCGAAGCATAAATAGACATCGTATTATGGATTCACTTATCTTTTTTTTTTCTTTTCTGCTACAGATGTAAGCCTCAATTTGGTCATTATTGATGATCACACATATCCAGACACCAGACAGCACTGCAGAGAACCATTCCTAGGCTACTGCATTCAGTAGTACTTTTACCCATGCTTTTAAGTCCATTTCCATTTCTAAATCCATCTTCCTTCTTTTTGCAGACAGAGGAATCTCCTTATATCAATGGCAAGTATTCTAGTAAAATTATCATTTCTCCTGAAGAGAATGTTACATTAACTTGCACAGCAGAAAACCAGCTGGAGAGAACAGTAAACTCCTTGAATGTCTCTGCTAGTGAGTATTTTATTTCTGGCATTAAAAAAAAAAAAGTAAGAACATTTGAAGTTATTCTTCATTAGTTTAAAATCTTCAGTTCCATCTTCCTGTTCTGCATTATGGTAAGTTTTATTTATTTATTTTACATTTGGTATCATCATCACGAGGTTCCCCTCTACCCACCTCACCTCTGATTTCCATTATCGCATGATCCTTGTCTTGATAGTTGAATCATTCCATATTTTATGTGTCAGAGATCATATCCTGTACAGGAATATTTTCCAACAGCAACAGATAAATGCTGAGTTTTTTTAATACCATGTTTTATTTGAACACAAATCGAGGTAATTCAAACATTTTTGAAAGTTTTAAATTTAGTAAATTTTTAATTCCCTTTAGTCTATTATTTTGCATTCCAGTTCTGTGTGGTAATTATCCTACCCTTATTTTATACAGGACTATCCCATGCTTGAATTCATTCAGCAGATTGGTAGCAAAGCTAAGAGAATTTGTGAAATTGATATTTTTGTGATAGTCATATTTAAGCCGTAGCCAAATCAGATAAAGAAAATCATCTCAGAGAAAGGGAAAAATCTGTTAGAGTGAAAATCTGAGTGATACATACTAATAGCAGCTTCTTCTGAGAACAATTATCATTTAATGTGAAATTATCCATCTTTTCAATTCCAATACTTGTCCTATTGCTATGCTAACCTTAAATCAGTTCTGGCCTAGAATAAAGATTAACTCTGAACAGGATGCTAACTGATCCTCCAAATATTTATCCTTCAGTCCATTTGGGATATTATATGTTACATTAGCAGGTTAGGGACACATTGGCTAGGAATTAGTTGGGGCTCAGAGATGACAATCATCTATAGACGATGGTCCTAAACAGATTATAAAAGTCTGACAGATTGAAAAGAAAAAAGAACTAAACAAATTTAACTCTAAAATAGCATTGACTTATCAGAATTCAATTCTGGGGGTGTTGATGTGTCTTATCTAGGGGAACCCATCCTTTTGTCCTGAACACTAATCTCTCTTTTTATTTAACCCATAGAATAGGGTGTTTCAGTTTTCTAGACCTTGCAATGGCTTGATCAACATTTAATACAGTAGTTTTCAAATTCAGTAAGCTCTTCCTGGGATTCCAATTTAGTATGAATGAAGAGAGATGAAATACCAGATATGCATTTTAACAAATATCACAGGAAGTTCTATAAGGATCCATAGACCACACTTTAAGAAATCTTTATGTAGTTTAATATCAGATGATAATCCATGACAGCAGTGATTATTACCATGGGCCCAGGATATAGGTTATCAGAGTCATTTGGAGAACTTTCACAAATATCACACCTCTGACACAGTCCCAGTTTTAAACTCTATCTCTGTCACTTTGAGAAATTCTCTAGGTATAAGTTCCAGAACTAAAGGAGGAAAGTGAATTCTCCTTTATTGGGACAGGAAGAAAACAAAATTGAGAAAGACTGCATTGTAGATTTTCATATATGGTGATGAGTTTCTCTTAAAAAGCAAAGTACTATTAAAAGAGGTAGATAGTGGGGAAATTAATATGGATTTCAGATTAATACTACAGCTTGTCAGTTGTGAAATTTTCTATGGTAGATTAATGCCTTTGCTGTTTTATCTACTTTCCTTTTCTTGAAGCAAGATTAATTTCTTTGTAGAGGAGTCATGCTCTATTAAGTACAGTTATTTTTCTTAGCTGTAGAATAGATACTTTATATTTGAGTATTATTACATCATACTATAGTGGTAAAGGTGACTTTCATATATCAACAAATTTTGTTTTTAATTTCATATTAACATTTTTCATTTCAGTAAGTATTCCAGAACACGATGAGACAGACGAAATAAGTGGTAGGTACTATGCTGCCGACTCTTCTTCCTTGTCGATGAGCTCAAGACTTATGAATTATTAGTGTATCAGTAATTATCTAAGCTCTCCACAAATTTGGCTTGAATTAAAAGAGCAAATGTGACAAGGTAGTAAGAATGTTAGAATTTTACCCTTTAATATCACAAGTAAAGTTTGCATATTAATCATAGAATAACCCTTAGTCATGTTTTGTAAGTAGCAACTAGATTGCCTTCTTTGCAGAAATCCTTGGCATTGTCTGTAATTGCATGGACTTTTCTTCTTTGTTATAGATGAAAACAGAGAAAAGGTGAATGACCAGGCAAAGCTAATTGTGGGAATCGTCGTTGGACTCCTCCTTGCTGCCCTCGTTGCTGGTGTCGTCTACTGGTTGTATATGAAGAAATCAAAGTAAGCCATAGGGGGAAAAAAATCTTCATTGTTTATTGACTTTCACTGGGAGAAAATGAAATGTGTTTTTTATGTTCACTCCAACTGTATATATGACATCTACAATAAGAAAGAGAGCTTTCTGGATCAGGCTGATCATGTTTTGCTTTCAGCTTACAGTGACCCCTTTGCCAATATCAGGAGGCAGAGCCTGTGTGTAAGTTCACATGTGTCCACTTATTTTTCTCAGTCGTTAGTCTGAATTTCGCTATTTGATTTTACAATGTCTGGGTAAATTTTTTTAAAAAAATATATACTGCCTAAAACTCAACCATTCTCAATGGTTTGACTGAAGCTGGTGAAAATTAAATTAAGTAGCTAGTACATCCTGCAAGGATTTCCAGGTGTCTTTGCAGTGAGAGGTTTGGCAGGCAAGAAGTTACTGGTAAGGGAGGGAGAGCATGTTGTCACTATTTCCCTGTTTTAGTTATTCCCTGTTCTAATTTTCTCCATGGAAGGATCTAATTCATAGAACAATTTATGATCATTTGGGATTTAATTAAAATAATTGATTAGACAAGATACCAAGACTGCTTTTAAACTAGCTTTAGGTGGTGTTTTAATTTTCAAATCATTAGCGTCATATAATAATGCAGTTAGTATGAACCTTAAAAATAATTGAACAATGATTTATGATGCAAATTAGATTAGCCAGTAAAGAGTCCTAATATGCACACACCTAGTGTTCCTCATTGCCCTACCTCAACCCCAGATTCAGATGCAATTAAGCAGCGAAAGAGTTCTACCATATGTATATTTAAAAAATTGCATGAGTGATTCTGTGACAAACCCTCTGATCTGTAACATGGGTTCTAAACATTCTTATCTTACAAATGGGGAAGTTAACTTTTGCAAAGTGTTGTGGATTACAGTTGCAACTTTGGACTTCATTTTATTTATGTTCTTAACATCTGATATTACTCCTTTAGACCACACATGTAAGTTAACTTACAGTCCAAATAAAATGCCAACTCCAATCAAGAACATGATCTTACCCTTTTAAGATGTCAATTTCAGCTAAGAAATATTATACCAGGAGAAATATTTTGAGTTGCCAAAATATGAACAGTAGTTCAGAAGTTTTAAAGTCATATTACAATATGAGCATGTGTTGATGTCTGTTCTAAGTATTTTTCATGTATTTAGTCCTCATAACAAATCTATGATATATTTCTATTATTATTCATTCTTTAGACTTGGAAAACTAATGCAGAGAACAGTTCATTGATTTGCTTAAAGTTACACAGCTCATAGGGGCCAAATTATTGATTTAAGGCAGTAATGTTTGGGAATCTTTGTGCTTAATTATTAGGCCTTAGGAGCTCTGGTAGCATAGTGGCTAAAAGTACTTGACTGCTATCCAGAAGGCTGGTGGTTCAAACCCACCAGCCACTCCTCGGAAGGAAGGTTGGGCAATCCTACTTCCGTAGTGATACTGCCTCCGGAAACCCAAGGAGGGGTCGCTATGAGTCGGGGCCGACTCGACGGCACATAACAACAACAACATTAGGCCTTATTTTTTTCTTGCTATGCCTTACTTTCTCTCATTTTGTCACATAAGGTAAAAGCATTTTTTTGCTTGTGTGTTGTAGCTGATGTACATGTCTGTTTTCACACTGAGGTGCAGCCACTCCTGTCTTAACCAGTGCTCATTATCACATAGTAACAAATATATTCTTTCTCTCAATTAACATTTTACCTAAAAACCCTTCATGTTTTGCCCACGATATATATGAAAAATTTGGAAGACAACTTGGACCATGCAAGTGAAAGGAAATGCAAACCATTGCCCAGAGGTAATATCTATCTTACAGAAATTCTCCTTCCATGTGTACAAGTTTCCTGATGATTAAAATCTGACCTTCCTTTATAGTCCATGTTATGGAACTCATAAATCTAACAGCTTGAGCTCTGGGGTGTTACCGTTTAATATACTTAAGATATATAAGCAATTTCATTTCTTAGAATAATGAAAATAAAATCTCCCTGAATCCTGAGGAAAAGAAAAAAGAAACTGAAGTTTTATACATTATGATCAAGTACACATTAAATTCTTGAAACACCCCTAATCTTCTTAATCATTGTATTCTAATTGCCAGCATCTTATCAGATACTTCTATGAATAGGAGAAATTAATGTGTGTGTGTGTGTGTGTGTGTTTTCCAATTACTTATTGGTTATTATCATATGGTGACCCAAAATTAAAACTCAGAGTTATGTAAATGCTAGATACTTGGCTTCACATTGTCATTAGGTTTAAGGCTTCATGCATTTCCTTTTATGTATCTCATTAAATTAAGTGCAGTTTTTACCATCTGACTTGAACATACATGTAAATAACTGTTATTTAATTGAAAAGTGCATCAGCATTATAGAGTTAATGTTATTGGTAATCAAACTCATAAACTGCAAATCCAGTCACAAGCACCAAACTGTTTTCATTAAGAATTTGTGAAACACTTCAGATTTGCTAAGTAGTTTGCATACCTGATTAGTTATTCCTTGCTAGTGTCCCGAGATAAGGTGGCATTTTAACAATGTGAGTTTGTGTTGCTAACTCCCAAAGTCGCTTGTCCAGGATGTGAGTACATAACGACTCATAAAAAGGGCTTATAGGTTAAGAATTGCTAAGGCCATTTTTGGATCTACTATACTCTTTTTCTTTATTCTCTTCGAGATAATTCCTTTCACTTAAAATTCAATATGTTTCATTTCTGTCTTTAAATAACTTGACCCATTTTTACATGGGTGTGAGAAATTTCTAACAAAGATACGGCCAAGACTTGTTCCTAGATACCTAAAGAAATATAGCCATGTGTTTACCATATTGCAAAATAACACCATCAACAATTGTAGTGAGTCACACATTCCTGCAAACAACTTGCTTAACAATTAAATTATGAGCCAAGCATTTTATGTAAAAGCCTCAGTGATGCACCTAGCTGAGCAAAGTATTAGCAACATTTGTGGGAACTTCTTTGCATTGACAATTTAAAAGTCATTGGAGAAAGATGAGGAAAAGATTTCATTTCCAAATACAATTAAGAGTAAATTTGTAAATATTCCTGGTGGCTACTTAGTTGATGTACATTCCCCATTCCACTGTTATGAGCTCCATATTTTTGTATCTATTTCAACCATGGAAAGAAATACTGAAAAGTTATGTTCCTTTTACATTGTGATATGATAGATTCATTGCAGAGTGAGGACTGGTGACTCCTCTGCTATGTATATAAATCCACGTAACTTCTCACTGGAAGTTATTTAAATCTAGAAGTTTTTGATAATTAGAATGGATGTCTCTGATCATTTCCTATGTATGTAGAGTATTAACTGACCATGCCAAGCAAAAGGCATTAATTAATTAATCCCACTCTATGCCTGGTTACTTAACAGTAGAATATTAGTAAACACGAAATAATCCCATGATTATTGTTTCATTATTTTATTATTCCTCTCTACTCTGTTATCCAAACTTCTTCTTTAGTGTTATAGCACTTGAATATTACTGTTTGAGTTCCAAATCCTCTCCTACATCTCTTACTACAAGAATTAATGGAAGTTTGAAGATCCTTAAAAAAAAAAAAAAAAGGAAAGATTTAAAGAAAACCTAAAGTAACCATAAATTTACAGAGAAGTTTATTACAATCATAATTTCCAGGTTGGTTGCATTTATGAGATCTCTGACCATTATAATGAAAAAAAGCCCAAATCCATTGCCATCGAGTCAACTGCATCCCATAATGACCCTATAGAACAGAGTAGAACTGCCAAACAGGGTTTCCAAGGCTGTAATCCTTAAGGAAGCAGACTGCCTCATCTTTTTCCTGTGGAGCTACTTGTGGGTTCAACCCCCCACCCTGACCTTTTGGTTAGCAGCCAAATGCTTAATCAACCAAGATCAAGCATTAGTCATATATTTTTAATTCAAAATACACCTTGTGTGAATCTTGGAAACTTACCAAGTGATTTATTGTTGGCAACTATTGACCTCATCATAAAAATTACTGTGTGATATTAGATAATCTGGAAATTTAAAAGCCACAAATATTATGTTAGTTCTGCCTTACATAATGCGATTGTATTGCAGTATTTTCTCAGAAAAACAAAACACACACACACACAAACAGTTCTGAACTGGCTTAGTACTGAAGAGAACTCACCAGTAACACTGAAACTTCAAGAAACAATTCTATATTATATCTCCAAAATAATTTCCAATTAGTATCTCTTGATATATAATATGTATAGAACAGGATCTTGCAAGAAAATTGATTTTAACTGAATTCAATTTTCCAATTAATTCTTACTCCAACATTAAATGTATTGAAGAAGGTGGGTTCTCCACTACATAAATTGAAAAGGTGTTAGGAATGTGCTGGGGGCAGGCAGTTATAGCAAGGGCTTTCCCCATTAGCACTTTAAGAGCATCTACTATTTTCCAGACAGGGAACTAGTCTCTTTGTGTACTTTCACTGACATACTCAAGAATTTAAAGAAGCCACTCCTCGGAAAGAAGATTGGGCAATCTACTTCTGTAGAGATCTCTCTCTCTCTCTCTATCTCACTGTCGTCAAGTCAGATCCGACTCATAGCAACTCCTCCTTGGGTTTCTGAGGTGATATCACTATGGAAGTAGATTGTCCAACCTTCCTTCTGAGGAGTGGCTGGTGGGTTTGAACCACAAGGCTTCTGGTTAGCAGTCAAACGCCTTAGGCACTATGCCACCTGCCTCAGAAACCCAAGGACAGGTCTCTATGAGTCAAGTCGACTTGACAGCAGTGAGTTTGGTGGTGGTTGTTGTTGTTAAGATTCAATGATATTGTCCTGCTCAATATATCATAGATAGCAAATATTTTACTCCAAATCCAAAGGATGTATGTGTCACTTAACATCCAAGATACATTCTGTACAATAGGACATTATGTGATTTAAACATTATGTGAACATCACATTGAAAC